GCACATCAGTCGCAGACTTGAAAGCTTCGAAATAGATGAAAAATTGGATTACTCCAACTGAGGATGTGAAGCACCGACTTCCTGCGCATTTTCGGCTGATCGAAGTACCCTGCTGGAGTACTACTTCCATACAACAGTTGTCAGAGGATAGGCCTTTGTCAGTTTTTGCGAATTCACGGGATCGCAACTAGCGATTCGCTGTATTCGCAAAGTCTGACACTGGCCTATCCTCTGACGACTGTTGTATGGGAGTAGTACTCCAGTAGTGTACTTCGATCAGGACATGAATATAATCAGAGATGGCCTATTCTAAATGTCGTTCCAAGGAGAAGTAGGTTCCCCTTCTGTTACTTAGTCACCCACATCAGAAACATCTCGTGGTACAAGCAATTTTCCGACTATCTTGACGGAAACGATCTCCAGCCCCTTCGGTTGATAGTCTTTGATCGGCGATGTACCGATGTACGATCGAGGTTAGCCGCTGTCTACGTGGGCTAATTCCGCTAATCCACCGAACCGCGATCACCGACAACAATGCAGCCCTCCGAGCGCTTCATTATACCGTCGCGCGGTGCTTTTGGCGCTAGCCGCCCCCGAAGAAGATCGTACACATTGGAGAGACGCCGACACAGTACCGTAATTAGAAACGGGACGCACATCAGTCGCCGAACAATTCTACGCATGTCATCGAGTTTGCATGATCGCTACTTGAGTGATTTGGAGAGGTAGACAACCAAGAGGTCATGGAACTCACTTGAACTGTGGACCATCTAATCCGTTGTTGAGATTAGAGCCAAACACTTTGTGCATCCTGTGGATAATTGTTGTGCACGATGAAACTTGAAAGGTGTCGCGTGGAGCCCTTTGAACTTCCGCATGAGAGCAGAGATACTCTCCGCTTAGATTCATTGGGAATAGCCCTACTATGGTCAAGCGAAAGCAGTTTTGGACACACACGCATGTCAGCCGACCCTCCATGTTCTTTGCTAAGATCTCGTCTAGGGAGACAGTCTTAATGTAGGCAGCCTGACTGATATTGGGCGTAAAATGATGCGAGGCTATCCCGGAGTTTGCCAGGAGTGCATGAACCATGGGGACTCAAAGACACGCTTAACCACACTTGTTTTGCTGCCAAAATTATGAAAGTGTCTACACGTTTGGTACGGGGGCATGAGGGTGAAACTAGTCAACCGTATCCGCAAGCCTCTCTTATTCCTACACTGCTAGGTGGCATTATCGATGTGTAAACTGGTAGCATTGCTGCTACTTAGGGCACGATTTGACCATCCACTGATTACGTCTCAGTGCCATATCATCTCATGAGGTCTTCTTTATTAGGACTTGACCTGGCTTTTATGCAAAGGTTACCCGAACAGTAGCACTTCTGAATAGTCATTTATAGATTGTCAGTCAACATGGCTTAAATTCTTTACTTCACAAAGCTTGTGCATCTTCATTGTCTACAAACTCTTTGTTAGCACACTCTTTATCCGGTTATCCCCCCCATACTCTCAGTAAATCTTTGACGGGTCGAAACTCATTCCCTTGCGTATGAAAACGTAAAACTGGAAAACAGCAACCTTTTGTGCAATAAATAAATGAAAAATGTAATAAATATCACCATACGCATTGAAATTGTCAAAGCTAAGTGAGCGCAGAACAACAAACAGTAAAGGAAACAACGAAGGTGTCTGAGCCACTGCGGGAGAAAGACTATATGAAATGGAAGCTGGTCATCAACTTGCAAAACGCTCATGAATACTTTCTGCTGCGATCCATGGAATTCGAACGAATTCCTGTTCACTTCAATGTGCGTTTTACTCAGTGGCGCGTTAATACCCGGGAATTTCAGCATTTCACATCAGTTGTTGTCGATGTTTCCTCACTTCCCTAACAGAACTTTTTTTAACCTCCGCAAATATACACTCGTAACGCTCTGTGCACTAGTGTCAATTAAACTGTGTAATCAAGCCTTCAATGAAAACCTAGAAATGGCTGTGAATTCGATTTTGCGCTGAAATATTTGTTTAACTGTTTGCGATCGGTTTTTATGAATTCGTTTTGAGACTTAGCACCTTTGATAGAAAGCGAGCATCTGAAAGATTTCTGACACAATCTCTAGCCATGTACGTCTATCTTTCGATATATTGACGATTAGCTAAGTCCGATATGTTTCGGTGGAAGACAAGTAGCTTATTAGAGAGGAGATCAACCGATCATCTGACAACCACGTAAACTTGTAGCTATATTGCAGCGCTGTACTGTAACCAATCATCTGAAATCGGAACATTGGAACCACACGCATCCGATACTGTCCTTGTCGATTCGCACATGCGTCACCGGAATCCATCCGAGCCCCACGCGAAATTCTCTTAACCACTGAACTACTTTTTTGTGACTCTCCGTTACTTCTCTATTAAACCTTGAAGGGTGGTAATTTACTTGTAGCTCTATCCATTTTACTCAGAGAGCACTTGACGCAATCACACACAAGGTACAATACCGTATCCAAGAAGTGGCCGACAATCTTCCAGTCGGTCGTTAGCAATTTTCACATTGCGCACGTGTGTAATCCTTGTGTGTAGCGCAAAGTCGAGTCAATGGATGAAATGTAGGTGACGTGCGAATGCCTTAGGTTACGATATCATTTGTTTGCGATCTCGCGGTTCGTCAGCGTGTGGAAACATAGCGGCAAAAAGAGAGAAGATGCGAAATTCAAACCTTTTGCCCAGTGCCAGTTCTATTCTAACGCCTAATCAAGGTCAGTCACCACTGTTCAACGCTAATAATATACATGGCGCTCTACACGATATCGTGGATGACACAAAAGTAAGCTGGTATGAGATATAGCCCTTTGAAGTAATATGGTTCTGCCATTGTTATTTCTCACAATCTCCTCGCCTTCTCTAATCTATTATGATACGTTTTTTCGTATAATGCTGGTTAGAAAACGCATCTAATCATATTCCTACATTTTTCAAACAATATTTAAGAAGTGTACGCGGTCTGGGTCGATAGTCATAAAATATCCGTTATACGCCATGCGCTTGCCTTCTCTTCAAAAATGAGAAGGGTTAGTTTGTGTTAAGGAGAAGCGTTCAGTAATTGAATGTGTGTCACCACTTGGCACTGTCTATTATACCGAAATCGGCGCCAACAGCGATATCTCCTTTTGGGCCAGTCAGTACGAAATTCTCCTCAAACAGTGACTGGAACGTGGTCACTTGAAGATAGTTCGGAAGCATTTTCCAAAAATGAAATCATGACCTCCATGATTCTGGGTTGGAAGTTCAATGCATGGCGCATCATCGAAGATGTCAATTTTTCATTCGATGACTATATCATCAAACGAAGAATGTATTCATTTGAAATTTGGGTAAATGTACGAGTTATCTGTCTAGCAGTATGCCTATTGAAAGCTTGTTGTCCCCTCTTCAAATCCGTCAGGTGCTTTCTGCAATCGTATGAGATGTGTTGTTAACGAATTTCATTGTTCGCCGGAGAAACGTTCATATGCCGAGAACCAATAAGTTTTTATGGAAACTATTTGTATAGCGATCGCAATAGTGATACCTGGGACAATAGGAAGGTGTTTGATCGGCAGAAATCTCGCACGAAATAAAAAGTAAAGAGTACTTATTGATTTGGTCATTAGACGATAAACAATCTCTTCTGATAGCATGTACAATTACATAAAAGCTTTTAATACTTGAAAACGGGGTACAAAAGATAGAAAGTTCCAAGGAGAATGTATTTGTGATCATCGCTGGTATTCTTCGACGAGGAGTTATTGGCCAGTAAGCTTTCAGATGCATGTATCTCTGAGTTCACCAGCGGCACATCTAACCAGGAAAGGCATTCAACTTCCCATGGAACTTTGAGATGAGACCCAGATATATCGATAGAGCTTCAAACGCTGATTACAAATATGGAAACTAAAACTGCAAAATGAACCTGCCAAGGAAGTTGTGAGCAGTCAAAGTTGGCTGGAAGTAAAGCATTACACTAGCCTCCGGGCTTTCAGAATCGCCGCAGGAGCAGTGGTGTGCCCTCGCTATTCACCCTAGAGGTCAGAAGCTCTCCTTCTCGTCGGAGCGCAAATTCCGAGAGCACTACCACTACTCCACGACGACTTTGAAAGCCCAAAGGCTAGTGTAATGCTTTACCTCAAGCCAACTTTGACTGCTCACAACTTTCTTGGCAGGCTCATTTTGCAGTTTTAGTTTCCATGTTTGTAATACGGTACAACTTCATCGATATATCGATCAATCTCGAAGTTCCATGAAGTTGAACGACTTTCCTGTAATTTGAACACTTAGCGTTGAAGTGCTCCAGATAAACGTTCAAGAATCTAGTAGTATACAAGACGGCCTATGTAGGCCTGCTCAGCTACTCTCATGTTGCATAAGTGTCTCTTGTTTGCATAATTATTCAACACCCGTGCTTTCTCGTACTTATTCTTGTCAATGGCGCAACCCAGGCAAGACAATCGCAATTAAAACCTTTCATTTCCCTCTTACGATTATCTTGCACAGTTATTTTTTTTTTCTTCAGCGAGAATTCAAGGGTTTACGCATCACATAATCTGTAAAAAAATTTTTTTCAAGAATTTGACATTTTGAGGATTCGGCCAATTTGCAAAGTATTTAGTACCAATACTGTGCATCATCAAACCGCATGTTTTTCTTTTTTCTCCATTTTATGACCATAATATTGTCGTCTTGTCTACGGGGTGAGTAGGTTCCGTTGAGCACGAGGACGTGCGCCTTCAAAACAAAGAATTAATCGGCAATTTCCTGCTCCGTTTACGAAATTTTGACTGCTTCTGAATATTTCACGCTATCGTCTCCTGTTTTTATGTGACTGGAAAAATTACTTGTTATCCGCCGCCTTCATGGTCGACCACAGCGGCCTCGCCGTCAACCACAACGAAGAATTGAAGATGTCGAGTCTACGGTAGCCGTTATTCCGCATGAGTGATCGGAATGTGTTCTAAAGAGGAGTACTTCAGTGATAGAGAGCTCAAGCGGCATCATCAAGTTGAACAATGTAGTTAGCACATGATAAAAAACAATTACGGAATTAAGAACCGCATCGGCTGCTCAAGTCTTTTCTCATCCCATGTTCGAACCACAATAAATTACTTAGACAGGTCTGAAATTAGTAGGACAGCATCATAATGCACAAAAACCCCGCGTCCACAGTGCTAAAAGTTGCGAAAACTGATTTCTTAAAGAAAAGCTTTCAGTCAATCAAGAGATGATTACAGTGTCTGGCAGTGGTGAGCCACGCCAAATATGGTTCTCGTGCAACATTGAGATTGGCAATATAGAAGACCGTATGCACGGCACGTTAGAAACCTACGCTTTCATGTCGTGGATACATTGTCCCAAACTGAAGTAATCCTTTGTAATTATTTTGCCGAGGTTTTACCAATATTTCAAATTGCTTTCCCAGGAGACTGACGCCCTTGTATTCAATCATTAATGTTGTTCATTGCCCACTTTCCTAGAGCCTTGTAGCTCTAGCAAATTTCTCCCTCGATATGCAGCCAGCATTCTTCTCATTCCCTGTCTCCATATCCTCGCCCCGGGCCATGTAAGGTTGGGCATGTTGGATGTGTTGCCTTGGCTTGATCTTAATTAACGAATTGGCGGCGCACGACGTCGGTTGTGGGTGGCTGGCAATAAAGTTAAGTGCCGAGTGGGATGGGTTCGGAAGAGGCAGTGACGGTGGTCGTTGTCAATTTAAGAGCTGCTCGAGAGTGAGAAGCCAAGCGAAACAATGAAGCGAATACGATGAATAATTCGTTGATGTCAATTTAACGCCTCAGCACGTGAAGCCGACTGACTGGTGGAAAGTCATCCAAGTGAAAGAACGATTACATTAAGGCATATCGAAAATTAGGTGCGCCTAAAGGTAAGCCGCATGGTTCATTTTGCCCGATATGCATCAAGATGTTTTTTTTATTGGAAGTTAGTCTATCAACTCACCAGGATTCGACTACCCAAACGAGTATAAAATCAGATGCGTCCTCACATGCTGACGGGGACATTTATAGGAACTCGTTACCGTGTGTTTGCCTTGGGGGTTTATTGAATTCCATATGAATCTCCACATAGCTATAACATGAACCAAATATACACAGCGCGGATCGATTCCTTGTAGATCGCCACGCATTTCACTTCTGTTCAGAATCGCGGTTGAATTTTGAATGTGATGAGTTCCATACAATGACTCATGCGGGCCGGTCGTTGTGTAAGCCGGTGCGTGTGTCCTCTCAGACAAGCTACGTACCAGTCACCCACCCCCCCCTAGAGGAGGGTAGGCTAACCTAGACGGCTTTAGATCCAACATTTGCGCCTTCGAGCCATGTGCGTAGTAAGCGGCACGTCTCGCCACTACCCATCTTCCGTCCTATAAGTTATAGACCCCTTTATGCCTACTTGGATGAGTACCAACCTCTCCTGGCTACAGTAATTCACCCTAAACCTTCCTTAATTGTCTCTCGTCTTGCGGACGATAATGCGCGTCTGCTTATGGAAGCCATCGGTCTATCGTAAACAGAGCCCACGCGCACGGCGTAATTCAATCCGCTGCCTGTCAATCAATCGAGCAGGTGAGAAAAGAAAAGACTCACATATCAGCTGCCGAAACCTCCTACGTAGTTGGCTGTGCATGTGTTTGTTCAAGTATCATCTTCATAACCGTCGAGTCTTTCCCTTATACCGTTTGATTATGGTGATCTACCCCCGTGCGTTCTTACCTGAACATTTTTTATCATAAGTTGATCAACAAAACTGACATATATTGGTACTGTTCGGTAATCACTAAGTCTATTCATCATCAGCAATATGCTTAGGGTGGTTCATGCACGTATCTCCTGTTAGATCATCACTCTTTACGGTACTGAAATATAGTGAGACCTCCTATCGCACAGGGGCCATTTGATACAACACCAGAGGGAATTTTCACGGCCCGCTTCAATCCCTAAAGCGGTCGGTAGTAGCAGTAGCTACAGATCTTCCCTATGAATTCGATATTGTATAGAAGCGATGAGCGCGTACGCTTACGATTGCACTTCATATTTTACTCCATTTATGAAGTACATCCGCGTGTGTCTTTGAAAGCGCTTGACTTTTTGTATAAGCAAATGTTTTCATGAACTAAACCTCCTCTGTGTTGACGAAATTAAATTCTTCGCCAGATTTTGGAAAACACGATTGCACTTTTAGATATGAATTCAGGGGGTCCTTTGAAATCCTCAGTACTGTTATGTTTCTTTGGGCTATGCGCATTCACAGCATTTCACTGGGAGCGTAGCTAATACTACGCCCAGCTGTTCAAGGTACTTAAAAATAGAACATAACAGAGCGACAGAACATCTTATGCTGCTTCTTTCAAAGAACGATCATGAGCCTCCTTGAGGCGAGAGAATATAAATATTTCGTTCCACAATGAGTCTACCTACAGGCGGTTATTGAAGTTTGAATAGTTCGAGCGGATAGAGAATGATTCTGTTGAAACAATTTGTTTCCTCCAATTGGTGTCGATACGAAGGAGCTTCATTTGAAGTTTCAAAGAAGTGTCAAGAGAAACCAGAAACTCTGGAATATCGTATTTAACTCGAAAGTTTTACAAAGTTCTCTGGGTAACTTGATAAGCTTTTCGTCTACTTTAAGCATCGAATATTCGATTACTTCAAAGATTTCCTGGTCCTCTTGTTAGTTTTTGTAACTTCAATAAAGTTATTTGGTTATCGCACCGATTTTAGGGAATCTAAATGTGATTTTTTTTTCCTGGGGCACACTCGTGTAGTGTACGTTAATAAATAAAAATCAATAATAAAAAATAAATAACCGAATAAATAAATAAGAAATCCCACACATCCATTTAACATGGTGACCTTTAAAAATTGTTCAAAGTTTCACTTCCAAGCGAATCGAGGACACTCACTGTGGATAAACTTCTCTGTACGTAAATCGCCATGACCTTGATGACCTTTGTCGAGTGAAGTTACAGTATACGTTGGAGTCCGAGGTGGCTAATTGGGTGTAGATTCACGGGCCGCCGGACACCCTAACCAAGGTGACCGATTGTCTTGCGGTGCAAACTGTTTTGCTATTCAATTATCGTAATTATGCCCTTCCGAGGTTCAATTGGAAGGCGTCAGTGTAGGTGTACAAACATCGCGTTGTTCACCTTAGCCGACGATAATCACCTGTTGAGGAAGAAAGAAGACGATGATTTCTCTGGGGAGAATAGGGATTTTATAGGTGTTTACAGTAACAGAGGCTCCTTGGCAGGCTTTCATGACGGAAATAGTGATTAGGCTACGCTTCGTAATGGGAAATTGCTTACTTGCGAGATCATGCAAGATAGTTAACGAAAAATGGTTTATCGAATATTTATATCCTCAAGTCTCGAATATTTATATCCTCAGTGCTCATCCAGAGATGTTAGGGCTACCGAAAATGGACAGGTGGTCACTCAGGAGTTCATGTTTGATTGCTAGGTAAATATTCTGTGGTTTATTATTGCATGTGCTGCCTAGCGCGCCCAGTTGGGCCACAGGATTTTGCTAAATTTGATCTAAATTTGTAAGAAGAACGGAATCTTGGTTTTGGTGGGCAGGGAGGAGCTCCTGGTAAATTCCAGGAATTTATCCCAAGACTTGTTTTTTTTTGTTGAGAATGGCAATACCATTCCCTTTTTTTGTTGCTCCTGGTTGGTGTTACACCTGTTCTGGAAAGTTGTATGCTGACATGAAAACTTTTCAATCTTAGGAAACGACTGCGTAGGCTTCTGAAAGCTCTCCCGATTATAAATATAAGGTGAAAGCGTGGCGCATTCTGGAATGGTGGTGACACTTCGAATCATCCTTCATACCAGATTTGGGTCACTAACCGACCCTCATACAACAATTACATTACGAATCACAAGGTGAGCGATCGTTCATGCAGCTATCGTGAGGGCCGGTGGGTGATTGAGGTGCATAGCATACCTCAATCATGCGCATCCCTTCGCTTGACCTCGTCGTCGGCTATGGCCACCAACGCGCTCCAAATTAACCCCTGTCTGATTTTTTTCTTCCCGTTACCTGATCAAAATACCGCCAGCAAAGACCTTTACCGTAGTCCGTGTCGAACGAGATAACTAATTATTTGGCGGGAGAAGTCGTTTTTCAGGGAACGAATGCCTTTAGTGGCGGCTTACGCTTTGTTCTCATTCAACCGCCACGTAATTATGCGGTAATATTCGAGGTGATGAAGCGGAATCGACGTTCATGGCGTTCAAAATCCGATTTGGAATATGTTAAGGTGGAATCGAAGGTGAATAACATGGGATGCGCCATACACTTAATTTCAATTCACAATGTTTGAGGCGATTAAAATCTACTCACCTATACTTCAAAATTGGAAGCATGCCTTATTCTGGCAAAACAGAAAGCACGAGAGCAATATGAATGCTTCCCAAACCAACAGATGCTGAAAGCCAATAAAATAGTACCGAAGATGTTGTTGGTGGTCGATTTGTATACACTAAATAATTCTATAGGTCTAGGAAGTGAGGTAATGACGGAAAATGTAAAATCGAGAACATTCCCAGGCCATCCGTTAAAAGCATTGGTGCAAGTGCTCGGAGTCAGATCTAAGAAGCAGAGTTCATGATGGTTCTGTCAGAGCCCACTAGGGATGGATTGTGGAGATGCAGACGAATGACTTTGCTTAATAAATGACGGCCCGAAAACTTTTTGAATCTAGTGACTTCTCCTTTCTTGCCTTTTCAATGGCATAGTGGATTCAGCCTAGCTGTCTCTCGACATGATGGCCTGCGACTGCTTTAGAGCTCTAATTATCAGTCGGCTCTTGACGCCAGAATTAACCTGACCATATTGCTAAGGTCGTCACACCTGATAATGGCTCGCGTTCTCAGTTAGAAGCTCGAAGATTGATCCTCCAAGGGAAAGTCGTCCGTTATGTTGTTCGATGAGTCCCTCTCTCTCCAGTCGATTACATATAGTCCCCTCCTCATCTTTGCGCAGTTACCCTACCGTTGGAGGCGAAAGTCGAGTTGGACGATAATCGGCGCCTCGGTGATTTTACCCAGATGACTCGGTTCCTATCCCTTCACTATCCCAGCCCAACCAGTACACGGCTGCACAGAGGCCGGCTGGGCTGACGCACGACACAAAAGATCTACAACTTACAGTAATCCTTTGGTAGTCGGTGGCGCCTGGCGAAAAACTAGTAACACTGGAGCGCATCATAATCATAATCATCGGAGACGCGCCTGTGCGCACGGACATTTGGAGAATATGAGGTTGACAGGCCGGCTGGAGGAACTGGTAATAATAGAGCGCAGAGGTTTTTTTCAGGTGCCACAGGTATCGGAAAAGGTATTAAGTGCCTGGCGGGGTGGTGGAGAGTTCTGCGAAAGACCAACTAGGGGATGAGGCATGGTGGATTAGAAGAAGAACAGGTACGTATTTTCGATGGCAAAGGTAATCTAGTCATCGAAGAATAATAACTAAAACGAAAGGCTTCAACAATTGTCTTATTTGTGGAATTGCGGTACTGCACCCTTTAGAATAGCTGTCAGCTTCTATGCTCAAGTCTGACGTGCTATATGATTTACCGACCAGTTGCTCTGGCTATATGTATAGGTAGTCAGCTTGCCAGCTAGCCGTGAAGTTGGCTGGTTGCCGGAGATCTGGTTGAGTGATTGGCAAAATTTCTGTGCGAGCTCGATTATGGAACTTTCACCCACGAAGAGTTATCTTGACTGGCTTATAAGGCTAGTCTAGTCCCGTAGCCGAGTCACAATTTAGCTCTGGTAGACGGCGTCTCCGTGCTGTCCAACCGTGTAAAGATTCGGAAAATCCCTTGCCTAAGATAGGATGCTTGTGACGGAGTGATGGTATGAGGAAATCCCTAATTGGGTTCCCTGCAGGTGCTGGTATCTCGATTCGCTTGTATGTTGAAGACTAACTAGGAACTGCCTTTGTCTGCTAAGGAATCCTAATCGAGTCGCTATGAGAATATCTCACCTCATTGCCATTGCAGCAGCAAGCGGTAGATTTCCTGTTTATTCTTGGGTAGTTTTCTGACGGCGCTTGTTTTTGGGTTGGTTGGGTAGNNNTTCATTTNGTNATTGTGGAAGGGATAGAGCTCCGTGTTTTGATCAAAGAAAGTCCAAATGTAATTGTTACGAAAAAAATAACTGTTATACTTTATGTCTTGAATTACTATCGCGTACTTGAATAGCTGCCAATCAGGGTCAGCCGCCTCAAATGGTAGCGTCCAGCATGAAACTAATATATCATAGTTTCAAATTCGCGCCCCTCATGGCTTCGGGTACTCTTTCGTGCGACACCGTAAGTTTGAGGTCATTAAGTCGCAATTATTGTGTGTAAGGATGTTGTTATTGTAAGAAAATAGGCGTCTAATTTGTTTCTGTGTTAGTAGGGCAATTACATGCTTTTCACGCAATTAACTGTCACTATAGTTGGCGCGCGCTAAGAGCCGTAAATCTTCGCGCACTATCACGTAAAGAAATGCGATGACGAGTTCTGAGCGTTGAAGGACCGTACGTGCTACGCGGTACATAAGCATAGGCGCTCGCTTTGAAAAGTACTTCATTAATTTCACGATCTCAAGCCCTCTATCGAACGCTTTTATTAAATGGCATCTTAGCTTATGGGCTTAATTATCTCTCTAGGGAATTTCGGAACGGTGAAAATAGCATTAAGATATGAACGGGGCCGATGATAAGCTCGAGTCA